ACTAAATTATTACGTATTTCAAAGCGGAGCATTGGATGAACTGTTACCCGTCACTACTCAGGTGATTTGCGACCACCGACCAAATTTACCAAATGGCCTACCAAAAGTACTAAATTATTACGTATTTCAAAGCGGAGCATTGGATGAAATGTTACCCGTCACTACCCAGGTGATTCGCGACCACCCACCAAAGTTACTACTAAATGAGTCACGATGTGGTGGAATCAAAGGCTCGTAAATTTTTGGGCTTATGGAGTTTTTAATATCTTCTTAAAACTTGTTCATTATTCTTTAGTCTTGTTTTTGTTTTTAAAAAATACCCATCTATCTTGAATAGGATTCAAAATATTTGCAATCAGAGAAAGAGGGGGTGGCCTGGTTTTAGAGGTAAAAATAGCGAGAAAATGGCTGCCAAAGTTTGGTAACTTGCATAGCTCAAATAAGATTCCTTGGAAACTGAAAATTTACAATTTTTGTGCTTTTATTAACATTTTTTAGTAAAATCAACACAGAAATATGGTTTTAATAAATGGACAATAAAGGGTGTTAAGCCAAAACACAAAAATTCAACAGAAAATGCCAAACGGGCAGAAAAATACCTGTTTCTTCCATTTCTTTATTTTGACAAGCGCCTGATTTCACCACGATGCCTCACAAATGTCCCACTAGTAGATATCACCCAGGCCGGCACGAACTGTCTACACCCTGTCATTATGGATGATACAACTGTCTACATTCTGTTGTTACGGTTGATCCAACTGTCTTCTCTCTGTCGTTCTAGACCATCCAACTGTCTACAGTCTGTCGTTACGGTTGATCCAACTGTTATTACGGTCGATCCAACTGTCTACACTCGATTGTTACGGTCGATCCAACTGTTGTTGTTACGGTCGATCCAACTTTTGTTGTTACGGTCGATCCAACTGTTGTTGTTACGGTCGATCCAACTGTTGTTGTTACGGACGATCAAACTGTTGTTGTTACGGACGATCAAACTGTTGTTGTTACGGTCGATCCAACTGTTGTTGTTACGGACGATCCAACTGTCTCCACTCTGTTGTTACGGTCAATCGATCTGTCGTTACGGTCGATCCAACTGTTTACACTCGATTGTTACGGTCGATCCAACTGTTGTTGTTACGGTCGATCCAACTGTCTCCACTCTGTCGTTCCAGTCGATCCAACTGTGGTTATGGTCGATCCAATTGTCTACACTCTGTCGTTCCGAACGATCGGGGAACCAGTCATCCTCACGTCTCCGGCCCCGCCCACCAGCAAAGGGAGGTTACTGTCGTCTGCGAACTTTCCCGCCTTACCCCGCTGCATGCCGGAGATGATGCTTGTGACGATGGGGGTCATGACCTCTTCCTCGTCCGGCACGTGCCAGGTGGGCGTGTCCTCGAACAGGTCGACCGGCCCGGGATGACCCAGACAGCTGCCCACTCGGATTATGAGACCTAGGGGAAGGATGGATTGAGGATTGATGAAAGGGGGGGTTAGAGGCGGGGTATAGGAGAGAGGAGTGGGGATGGGGGGAGGTAAGAGGGGAGAGTAAGAGGGGAGATAA